GGCGGGACGCCGGGGGGCGCCCTGACGGCTGACCGGCCCGTTTCCCTCCGCTCCCCAGGGCTGCCTCGCTAACGAAGACCGCGCCCGCTCTGTGCCCCGGACATGGCCGGTGTGAGTAGCTGTGGGGGAGCTGTGGGCGGCGGGACTGAGCCGGAGCGGTGGCCGTCGAGTGCAGCCTTGCGGGGCGCTGTGGGCGCGTTTCTTTCGGTGCGCGCGCCTTCCTGGGCTTCACGTCCGTGGGCAAGCCCGAAGCCGCTTGTCAGTTAACAGATCGTTCCAGTGTTGAGAATATTTTTAGCCCCTTTTGTTTTGGGGGGCTTTTTGTCCTTGTTTTCTGTTCTTCGCCCTTTTTGAAACTCTGGCCGACTGGACTGAAGGGTTTTGTTTTTTGTTTTTTTGTTTTTAGCAGTTCCAGTATAGGAAATGACTAAAATTCTACAAAACAAGACCAAAAGATATTTTTCACGCACACCAGTGTGATTGTAAGTGCGCGGTTATAATTACAAACGTCCGAAGCTGGGAGTGTATTTCAGTGGTAGCTCTTGCCTAGCGTGGGCAGGAAGAAGAAAGTAGAGCATCTTAGAGAGTTTATATCTTAAGTGACGTGAGAGATGTGTGAAAGAGCTGCAGTAAAAATAGAACATAATAGTTGTTTTTAAAGCCTTGGAAAGGTAAAGTTCAGAGCTGTTGCAGGCCACATTCTGAGCTTTGTGCAGAGGAAAAAGTGGGGACTTGGGATTATTTGCTGGGAACAGCACTTCACTGGAGTTGTGAAAGATGAGCAGAATTAGATCATTGGGGAAGGGGAGACCGGAAGTACGGGACAGTATACCGAGGGGCGTCTCCTCCCACCCATTTTAAAGAAGTCATCTTTGCCTGCCTGAATGTTCGCTTTGTGCAAGAGATTCCTGGAAGATAAGGTTCCCTGAGAAGGTGCAGCCTTGGTCAGCCAGACTCTAACTGTTGGGAGCCGCTGGAGCTGGTTACTGGTCAAGCAGTCAGGCTACCTCAGTACTGAAAAAGGCATCCTGCGGGACAACCACAGTCGTTAGTTGCTAGGCAACATTACCCCCCCATGATACTAACTTTGCCAGTGTATAAAATAAACGCCCCTACTGTTGAAGTCAGTCCTCCTTCTCATCAGGCTAGAGGTAACTCCACCTGACCCCAGCTCTTGTCGCTTGTCTTTATTTTTCTCATACCCAGCGCCGTTTCCCTCCGGGGTACAACGAGAGACCAGCGAGGTACTCTGCAAGTAATTTAGACTTTATTTAAATTGTGATTTAATCAGAGCCACGTGTTAGGAAGAGTGAAGGGGCAAACATCAGTGAAGATGAAGCCCCCGTCCTTGGTACAAGTCTGGCGACCGTAAAGCACGTGCGGGTGCTCTTAGCACGTTAAAAAGCTTAGGCAAGAGAATGGCAAGTTCGAACTCAGCCTGGGCAGTTCAGCCACTTGACAAAATCCTGTCTCAAAATTAAGTAAAAATAAAGGACTGGGAATGTACCTGGGGGTAGAACACTTGGCTGGCATCCGGGAGACCCCGTGTTCAGCTCCCAGCAGTGCAAAAAAAAGAAAAAGAGACTACCAGTCTAAAACAAGCTTTAAATGGAGTTTTTGCATAGTGCTAACAGACACAGAAAGAAAACATTGTAAAGGAAGCATTTGGTTTTCACAAAAGACATTAATTGAAATTAAATATTTGACTTGACTTTATTTTGGTTTAAATAAATAAGTTAATTCAGTAGGGTAAATATTTCGGAAGATGCTTTTATAAATTCTTTGCTGGAGTCAGCTGGGATGATGGCACACATCTTTAGTCCTAGCACTCAGAAGGCTGAGGCAGGAGGATTGCCCTGAGTTCGAGACCAGCCTGGGCTACGTAATGAATTGAAGGCTAACCTAAACTACACAGTGAGACCTTGTCTCAAAAAAACAAATAATTTTTTTGCTGGAGTGAAATAAAAATTTAGACAGTATGGCAGCAGTAAGTTCACATGTCCAGATGATATTAGCAACATCTCTGTAGCTAAGGGAAGGCTGCTTGCTCCTTTTATATACAAAAGGTATTTTTCAGTTTGTAATTTCCATTATACCAACAGCAGTTTGAGTTTTTAAAAAATTTTTAATGTAAAAGACCAGATAATAAATATTCTAAGCTTTGTGGGCCATAAATTCTCAATTACGGCTGCATAACTCTGCCCTTATGGTGTGAAAACAGTCATTTACAACAAATAAATGAAAGGATGTGGCTATTTTATAATAAAATTGTATTTAACCAAAACAATGTGTCCTACTAGTACGTAGCTTACCATCCCTTAAGTTATTCTGACCCCATTATTTTGCCAAAAGTTTATGTATGGGAGATACTTACATTTTACATATTTCCACATTACTTGTAACTTACCTACAAGTCTAGAAAATGAATGTAAGATCAGAAAATAAATGAGGAAGGTACTTTATATGCTAACATGAAGGAAAGTGGACATTCTCATCAAACTTAAAAGGAAGAAATTACACAGGAGATAGTACAATAAAAGATGAAAGGATTTGAAAATAAGTAAAATTTTGGTCCAAGAAGAGGTTTTAGACATTCTGTATCTCAAGGCTAGCAGAATGTTATTAGTGGTCCTACCTTTTTAGTTTTGTGTTTAGAAAAATTTTTCTAGACTTCATTCTCACACACACACTTGAATTTTGGCTTTTATTGAAAGAGATGCACACTTTCACCCAACATAATTTAATACTTGTTTGGATTTTTACTGTTTTTTCTGGTACTGGGATTGAACCCAGAGCCTCAATACTGAACTATATCCTTAGCCCTTTTTTATTTATTTTTATTTTTTATTTTGAGATGGTCTCACTAAATCACCAAATTGTCCAGAGGGGGTGAAAATGTGGCAGTCATTGTGCTTCACCTGCAATTACAGGTGTGCTCGACTGACTTTTTTTAATATTTGTGTTGTCAACATAAAATGAAAGTTGTATAGAAGCGAGGCTTCCCAAAGAGAAAAGGTTCATTCAGGAGTGAGTGATCGCAGTCCGTAACACACTGTGGCGTATGCTATGGGAGAGCTGTAGATGTACCCAGGGAGGCGAAGGAAGGCGAGACTTTTAAAGGTAAAATGAAGATGGTTACACAGTTATTCTGAAAATTATTGTTGGCACAAAGGTCACTTTGTGTAAAAATAACAGTCGAAGGTTGAATAGGCTTTTGGTGGGCAGGCATCTTCATAGAAGTATTTCTGTGTGTGTGCAAGATTGGTCTTTGTGCAAGGTTGTGCTTTAACAGAATCTTTTGTGATAATTCCTTTTATGAAGCAAATGCTGACCTCTCCCCCCCATCCCCGTTGTGGCCTCTTGACTTTGTTTCATTAGGATTTGGCTTAAGTAATTCCATTTTGATTGGTAGTTTTCATGGTATTTATTTTAAAATTATAAATACGTATTATGTGTGTGACATAGGTAATTATGTGTGTTATAATGTTTACATCCAGAATGAATAATTTTAATTCTGTTTTTTTTTCATTCTTAGGTGCTCTGTAACAGGGCCAGACTGGTTTCTTATCTCCCAGGCTTTTACTCTTTAGTTAAAAGAGTTGTCAATCCAAAGGCCTTCTCAACGGCGGGATCTTCAGGTTCTGATGAATCTCATGTGGCCGCTGCGTCCCCAGATATATGTAAGTGAAAGATACTGCATGTAATACACCTAACCTGACACGTGATTATACCTGCACAGCGCTCGGTATCACTGTAATAAACAAAAAAGCTCGGTAGAGCTTTGTTTACTTAATGTGACCACATAACTCACTATGAACTGTGGCTCACTGCCCAGCTTCGAGAGAGATTACAGCCTGTTGGTAAACAGGAAAAAGATCAAAATTCAAAGTTTGGTGCATATGGCTTTCACACCATAAAGTCAAGAAGTCACGAATCAGGGACTGCCTGTACTGTTTTCCAAAGCTTACTTTGTGAACTTTAGTTTTCTTTCTGTCTTCAAACAAACCAGTCTTTCCTGAAACAGGTCTTCTTTTGATCCTGTTAAAACATTACTTGCCATTTTTGATTAATTTCTTAAATGTAGCTGACACGTTTTATGTATAGTATGTATTCAGTGATTTACCTACTAGCTAAAAAATGTGCGATTTGTTTGGCACATGCCTATCATGCTAATGACTTTTAAATATTGATGTCACTTTAGTTCTCAAATTATCCTCAAGCTATGAGTCACTGGTGGTTTTGTTTTTTTTAAGAGGGTTCTATGCTTAGGTAAGTTTGAAAAATACTACATATTTGTCATATTTCTCTATTGAAAAATTTTTATTAGTATATTTTTGTAGTATATTTACATTCTTTGTGGGGAGTTGATACACGTACATAGAACTTACTGATTACTTCTATCATTCCCTTTCCTTCTCTTCCTCCCCACCATCTCTTGGTCCTCTTCCTGTTGCAAAAGATTTCTGTCCCTTTTTCCTCTTATTTCCTGTTATGTCTTTTATTTTGCTCTTTATTTATATTTTGGGTTTCTCTATAGGAGAAATCACATAACTTTGTGTTTGATTTTAGTTAACACTATGGTGTCAGGGTAAATCCATTTTCCTACAG